CTCCAGCTGGCACGCCAGAGACCCCAAAAGGTAGCAGACCCCACACGAGGAGGTGGCCCGGGCCCTGCCTGGTTCGACCTCCGTGCCCCTGCCTCGCAAACGGTGGCCCCGCGCAGTGCGAGGGGACCGGGCGGCAGCTCCGTGGGGCATCCAAGCAAGCCCTGCTTCGGCTCCCGCAGGAAGACCGCTCGCACTTGGCAGCAGCCTCTGAGCCCCAGAGAACAGGAACCAGGAGTCCTCCAGGCATGGCCTGCCTGAGCCCCTGGCAAGTGTCCAGCACTGCTGCCTGACCCGGCTGGAACTGTCTCTGCACAGAGACGTGTCTCCAGAAATGGGCCCTGCCTGTCCTCCTTCCTGCCTCTCTTGTTCAAGGCAGGATCACACTTCGGCGGAAGGGATCCCTGGAAAAGGTCCCCAATCCCTACCCAGGGAACCACAGCTACTCTGCAAATCACCAGTGGGTCTCAGGGTGCTGACTTCTCCCTTTTTCCAGCTGGAGGTGGGCAAAAGGCACATTTGATTTATTTGGGGTCAGGAAGGAATTTTACCCCAGGGTCAGATTGGTATGGACTGTGGAGGTTTTTGCCTTCCTCTGTAGTGGCCTGTATGACCCTCTTCCTAGGATCTCTTGAGCTTATATTAACAATTTTTTATAAAAGCAGGACATTGGCTGCCGTAGTTCCCCTGCTTGACTTGTGGCAGGTTAGGGTGTGAGGTCTGTGTTGTGTTGGGGCTCATAGTTGTTTCATGTAGCGTTTACATAATGCAGAGTATAGGATGGTTTGGATAAGAATGATCCTGCCTCAGGCAGGGGGCTGCACTAGGTGCCCAATGGAGGTCCCTTCCAGCCCTACATCTCTATGATTTCTATGATTAACCTCCAACAAAAACACAAGGTCCTACTGCACTTAAAGGCAGCTAAAATACCTACATATTTTCTTATTGTTATTCTTTAGGTACGCAATTATAATAGTTGCCACCAGAATGTAACAACGCTGCAAAGGGAAGGGCAATCTGCAATTGCAAGTGGATAAGGAGATGCTCCATTTGATGAAATCTCTAAAATGTGAGAATACTTACAAATTGTAAAATATTTGTAAAAAACAGAGAACTTATTTTGTCTACATACAGGTAAACCAAAGCCATATACATGAAGGAGATAGAGGGCAAGGCCAGGCTCACATGCAAATTTCAAAGGTATCATTCAATATATTTATACGTAAATTAAATAAAACTGAGTATTTCATTAATCTGTTTCAAGAATCAAATTAATCCCTGAAAACTATTCTTCAAAACTTTAATACCATATTTGGAAGAAGGTGATATGTGAACTCACATCAGATATAATCTCCTGTTCACAAACAATAGCGTGAACCTGGATTTGTGATGGGTGGAGCTTCATAAAAGAAATGTTTCTACTAACGCATGAGTGCATGTGGTAGCCAAAGAAATACAACAAAATGCCTGTAGAATACCATCTGAATCATGGCACATAATTGGACCAGATGTTATTCTGAGATCCTCACATTACATGACCAAAAAACGGAATAGCACATAGCCAAAATTGTCATCTTTCAAAAAGTGTGTTAACACATATCCTTTTTTCTGTCATTATGCAGAAAAGGTCAAAAATGGGATATAGGAGATTTCAGCACTGCATACACAAAAGTTATTTCTATTTTTCTCTTTGTAAGCTAGATACCTAGAGGAAACCTTTCAAATGAAACATTCCACACTTGAAGGTAGGACCTCTCAGTTCTCTGTAAATGTATTCAAAGTAGGGAGTTAAATGGCTCCACATGATTTCATATATCTTTTGGCTTATTCAGCAATCCAAATGCAAATCTAAGCCAGAAATGTCACAGGCATATCGTAAACATTTGGGACATTTCTTGGAGAATTTGGATAAAAAAGGAACAATTAAAATGAGAAATAATTATTATCTAGTTTTGATCTGGGGTGCACATAAAGATACTCACATTTCTACTAAGTTATGTACAGAAAGAAAATTAATGGTGTTCAACCTTAACAATGCTAAAAATATACAAGCACTTTTAATATGCAATGTATATTAAAATAAAGCCCCACCTTATTCTTGCTGTGGGACAATGGAGAAGGCACTAAAAAATGAAGCAGAAATGTTTCTACTATGAGGGGGTAATCTAGAAAAGGATGTGTCCTGCCACCTAACCTACTTCTTGCAAGATTTATCAGATAAAAGGGAATGGCTATGACATACAGAGTGCAGATTTCCCAGCAGAAATTCATATAGGAATGTTTTGATGTGATTTTTTTCTGTGCCTCCAACTATTCTCTGGTAAGGGAGCAGAATACAGTTGAGTATAATTTCCAGTACAGCACAGGTAGCTAGACAATACATTTGCCTGAGGCTCATTTTTCCTTAAAAAGGACAGAATGTTCTCTCTAGGCTACTGTGGAACTGAAGGACCAAATCCTACTACTGGTCTTTATGAAATGAGCTAGAGAACAAGGGCAACATCTGTTACCCAGGAGGACTTCTGCAGCATGATGGAGAAATTTTTTTAAATAAAAGGACAGAATGTAGAGACTGGAGATAAATAAAGAGAAGTAATAGTTTGGCGAACCGGTTCTAGAAGAGTAGGCAATGCAGAGGAAGAAAACCCTGATATTTGTACCAGAAGCAGACAAATGAGGTATGCAAGCTGATATCACTAAGCAAATACAGGAAGTGACGAAAAGGATAGGAAAGATTGGAAATGGAGATGTTGGCTCATCTCTGATATCACAATATTACTGCAGAGAGCAAGAACAGAGAAAGGGATGGATGATTGGTTGACTTACTTCTGATGTCATAATCTCAATATCCAATGAGATACTGGGTTGAGGGAGAAAGTCTTGATGATGTTGCAAGTTAGCCATCCATCACTGGGCTGTTTAGAGGTCTGACTATTTTCACTGTTCAAAGTGAAATATAACAAATAATCAAACTATTAACTAGGACATCAAATTAGATTTTTTAAAAATCATTACAGTTTTAACCATCTAAAATATTGGTTACATGGCAAAATGCATTTTAACCTATGTCTCTTTTCAATATACTATATTTACATGAATCCAAGATGACTTTAAATTTAAGATGACCCCCCAATAATTAGATTAAATTTGTTTTTAATTTTCCATGTATGGCATCTAATTATTGGGGGGGGTCATTATAAATTCATCCCTGCCACCACTGCAGCAAGAAGAGCGGTGTCAGGGAGACAAACAGCCTATCCCTTGCTCCCCTCCCACCTGCCTCCATACCACTTATCCCCCCTGCACCTCCACTGCCTGCCCCCAACAGCCACTTGTCCCCAACCACTCTGACACTGCCCCTGGCTTCATCTCCAACCAAGTAGCTTTGGGGATGGCAGCTCCAGCCCCAGCCCTTTAGCGGCCACTAGTCCCAGGCTGCACTCAAATCCAAGATGAGGTTTCTTTTTCCCACATGTTGAATGGGAGGGGAAAAATCTGTCTTGAATTTGAGTAAATATGGTAAGCTATTTGTAAAATAGGTAGGGACCTCCATGTGCAATTGAGCAATTTCAGCCAGCACATATGGGCTATTTATGTTTACTGGTTTTAGGTATCTCATAGTAAAAGGAGCTATCAGTCAAACACAGGGGACAATTTCTCTGCATAAGCTAATCCTTCCCACACTGGACAACCACAGTGGGCTGTTGAATTGCACACTGAGAACAGTGACTTTGAGTGTTGCTCAGTTGGCTTTCTATGTCTACTTTGCAAGCTTCCTGAGCATGTTGTTCCGTGTGATAACTTTGCCTTCTGTCTTTTACACATGTTACTTGGAGTATGTGGTTTTTGTCATGCCAAGGTAGACAAGATTATAGTAATGGGTGACTGGGGCCCTGTTCCAGACAATTCTAAATTGTCTGCTGACTTTCCTGATTCTAGAGATGGCTGAGATTCACTTCCACTTGAACTGGTTCAGCATACAATTGATTCTTAGAATAGCAGATTGAGCTCTCAGTGCTGATGTTTATGTAATTTCAAATCCAGCAAAAGCCTTGGTTTGGTCAATGATGTACAGATTGTAAGGATCTCCCCACTTGTGAAAGCTGGATCAACCACTATTGGTCTTCCCAGGTTAATCTCCTTCAATGGTTTCCTGCCATGCCTTTAATGTTTTGAAATAAAATACAGAGAAAAAGAAGCAGATAATGGGAGGCAAGATCTTCCGTTTCCCTTAGTATTAGGGTAGTGGTAATAAGTCTATTCTCAGAGCTCTGCCACCCCTACACTGTGTCCTCACCACACCACAGATGATCCAGGCCAGGGATCTCCTTCAGCTTTGTCCTCACAGCAAGCAAGGCAAGATGACCGGTGACTGTTTGTTTTCACTATGTAAACGTCAGTTGCCACCACGCCTTTGCATAAATACTTCTATTAGTCCAACTGTCGTTCTTGGGGTGTTATCCCCCTTTCTACCAGTGAAGCAATTCCCATCTGCTTCAGCACTCCTTCTCAGAGCCTGTTAACTACCCAGCCACACCTCTTAACTCATTCATGGTCATGGGCAATCCCTCATTGGGTAGAGAATTAGGCTTCTCATTCCATCAGTTAATAAAGTGACCGATACAGTCCCAGTCACTTTATTCTTCTCCTAATTACATTCTTGGCAACAGATCTATTACGTGCAGACCCCTAGTGCAGTTACCCTGGTAACTCTTGATTCCCCCTGGAGTTGCATGGCTCACAAGCCAGTTACTTGGCCCCTCTCTGTCCAGTCATGAATCACCCATTTGACTGAGTCCACTCAGAGCTTCCATTAAGTTGTTTGATTTACAGCAGGACTTTCCTCCTTTGAGGACTC